GTGTGTGTGTGTGTGTATAATATATATATATACACACACACACACACACACACACACACGTATTTTCCACTCCATGCATCGGATGAAGTGGGTTTTAGCCCTCAAAAGCTTATGCCCAAATACATTTGTTGGTCTCTAAGGTGCCACAAGGACTCCTCCTTGTTTTTGCTGATACAAACAAACACGGCTTCCACTCTGAAAACTGTAGATACAATGTCCTTTTCTCCCATCAGCCTTAACGCTTTATCCATTTCCCAGCCTGTTACCTAGGATTAACTGCACTTTCCTACATCACTGGGGCACTGTGAGCTCACTTGAAAAGGGAATATATTAGTGTTTGTGACCTGGGACAACGTTTTTCTTGTTTGCATTTCTCTTGAAATAGCAGATTTTTCCTACCCTGGTTTTGGCAGAGGACTTTGGAGGACTGAAGAATCAGAATGGAACAGTCTGTATCCTCAAAAGGTTTTTAGGCCCTGAACTCCTGTTGAAGTCCCTGGGAATTAGGAGTCTAAATATCTTAGCGGATCTGGTCCGGTGACCTCAAAATAGACCAGGGGTCAGCAACCTTTCAGAAGTGGTGTGCCGAGTCTTCATTTATTCACTCTAATTTAAGGTTTCGCGTGCCAGTAATACATTCTAACGTTTTTAGAAGGTCTCTTTCTAGAAGTCTATAATATATAACTCAACTATTGTTGTATGTAAAGTAAATAAGGTTTTTAAAGTGTTTAAGAAGCTTCATTTAAAATTAAATTAAAATGCAGAGTGCCCCAGACTGGTGGCCACGACCCGGGCAGTGTCAGTGCCACTGAAAATCAGCTCGTGTGCCGCCTTCGGCGCACGTACCATAGGTTGCCTACCCCTGCAATAGACCGAGCACCAAGCTGCAAGTGGCCCAGTGCTCAAATGAGGAAGGAGAGAATGCTGAGCTACAGTGGAGTTGGTCAAATAATTTATGTTCAAAAATTATTTTCTGATGAAAGTTATTTTGGAAACAATGTCAGTAAGGTGTTCCATTTTAAAAAATTGGAAATTTCAGTTTTTGAAAACTGAAAAGTTTAGGGAAATATTTGTTTTTAAATAAAAACCCAAAGACTTCACAGAAACATTAATTTGTTCCTTTCAAAAGTTTGTGGGAAATATTTAACAGTTTCTGACCATGTCTAGCCCCAAAGTCCCTGTACAATTTTCTTTCAGCCTCTATGCACCAATCCATCCACTAGAACAGAACCTAACTTATCCAGT